CTCTGCTCTGGTGAGACCTCACCTGGAGTATTGTGTGCAGGTCTGGAGCCCTCAATATAAGAAGGACATGGACCTGATGGAGAGGGTCCAGAGGAGGGCCACAAGGATGATCAGGGGGATGGAGCACCTCTGCTACGAGGACAGGCTGAGGGAGCTGGGGTTGTTCAGCCTGGAGAAGAGGAGGCTCCGGGGAGACCTAATAGCGGCCTTCCAGTACCTGAAGGGAGCCTACAGGAAGGCTGGGGAGAGCCTGTTTACAAAGGCCTGTAGTGACAGGACGAGGGGCAATGGCTTCAAGCTGGAGGGGAGCAGATTTAGACTGGAGATGAGGAGAGGGTTCTTCATTGTGAAGGTGGTGGAGCACTGGAACAGGTTGCCCAGGGAGGTGGTTGAGGCCCCATCCCTGGAGATATTCAAGAAGAGGCTCGACGAGGTCCTGGGCAACCTGGTCTATTTGGGGGTGTCCCTGCTGACTGCGGGGGGGTCGGACTAGATGACCTTTGGAGGTCCCTTCCGGCCTGGGCAATTCTATGATTCTATGAAAGCTCACTCTTAGCATTACACAGAATAACCCAGCGTTAGTGACTGTTCTACCTTGTGCCACTGGCCGTCGTTTATTTTGTTGGGAATCATGGTGTAGGTGTCCCCGCTGCCCAGGTCGTAGCTGAAGTAGGGCAGCCCGTTCTTCAGCTGGACGGTGGCGAAGTCGGCGTGGTTGATGCGCGCCATGTAAAACATCAGGCCAGAGTCGGCCGTCGTGCGCACCTCGAACTCGATGGTAAGTCTGAAAATCAAACAAAGAGGAAACCAGAAACAAGGGAGAAAGGCATTAAGAGTCTGATGGCAGACGAATTTATCCGCTTTACCTTTTTGTGTTCCACTAACAAATGTCTACATTTAGTGGTCCATTTTACTTTCCATCAGGATTTAGGAAAAATAATTTGCTTATAGCAAATTTCATTTCACGCATGTCTGCTCCCTCACCTGTGAGGTGAGGTTATTCAGCCTGGAGAAGAGGAGGCTGAGGGGAGACCTTCTGGCTCTCTCCAACTCCCTGAAAGGAGGGTGTAGAGAGGTGGGGGTCGGTCTCTTTTCTCAAGTCACAGGCAACAGGACGAGAGGAAGAAAGTAATTTGCTTATAGGCAAATTTCATTTCATGCACGTCTGCTCCCTCACCTGTGAGGTGGGGTTATTCAGCCTGGAGAAGAGGAGGCTGAGGGGAGACCTTATTGCTCTCTCCAACTCCCTAAAACCTCCCTATGGCAAAGAACCTGGGAAGAAATTATTTAGATTATTTTAGACTTAGTACAACCTTTATGCTAAGGGTGTACAGGCAGCGCATCGCTAACCCAGCCCAAGCTGAGCTGCAGAGTCAGTACCTGGAAGCAGCTGATAATAGAAATGTGAAAAATCACTGCATGGCAACGATGAAAACAGGATTCTTATTCGAGAAGACGACAGGCAGGACTGAAGGATTACATATTTCTTTCTATTAGTTTCCTAGTTTTGTAAAATTAGCGCATTATGTGAAAATATACAGTACAGCACCTTTATAGGTAAAAATAATTGTGGGACTGATGGACTTGTAAACTACAAGGCAGCAAAAATGGTTAGTTTTGTGACGTGGCGCATTTGTTAATGATCATGAACAATTAACAAGCTATAGCTTCACAAACCCATTGAAAACAGCTGTATTTTTATAAGCAGCTCCTGGAATTCCATTATATATAAACACGTATATGTATATATTGTACTTTGGGAGGGCAATGTCATTTTGTCTGTTTGCTGTGCAAGCTTCACCTTAACTATTGGAGAAAACAGGAAAAAATGTTTACTAATTACTAGAAATCATCAAGTTGCTGAACCGAGAAACTTTCTTCTGAAAAAGCAACCTAGGAATCTCATCGGGGGTCTGCTGGTCTTGTGAAATCCACTGACCCGTGGACAGAGTAATGCCCAAAACCTCCCTATGGCAAAGAACCTGGGAAGAAATTATTTAGATTATTTTAGACTTAGTACAACCTTTATGCTAAGGGTGTACAGGCAGCGCATCGCTAACCCAGCCCAAGCTGAGCTGCAGAGTCAGTACCTGGAAGCAGCTGATAATAGAAATGTGAAAAATCACTGCATGGCAACGATGAAAACAGGATTCTTATTCGAGAAGACGACAGGCAGGACTGAAGGATTACATATTTCTTTCTATTAGTTTCCTAGTTTTGTAAAATTAGCGCATTATGTGAAAATATACAGTACAGCACCTTTATAGGTAAAAATAATTGTGGGACTGATGGACTTGTAAACTACAAGGCAGCAAAAATGGTTAGTTTTGTGACGTGGCGCATTTGTTAATGATCATGAACAATTAACAAGCTATAGCTTCACAAACCCATTGAAAACAGCTGTATTTTTATAAGCAGCTCCTGGAATTCCATTATATATAAACACGTATATGTATATATTGTACTTTGGGAGGGCAATGTCATTTTGTCTGTTTGCTGTGCAAGCTTCACCTTAACTATTGGAGAAAACAGGAAAAAATGTTTACTAATTACTAGAAATCATCAAGTTGCTGAACCGAGAAACTTTCTTCTGAAAAAGCAACCTAGGAACTCAGTTGCATGACCTGGTTCCGTTCCTTTCTGCAAATCAGTCTGGGATCTGCATGTGCCCAAACCTTCAAAAGCAAAGAGGTAACTGCTTTTGTGAGAGCTACTCGGGTGGGCGCTTCATCGCCTGGATTTCATGCTTTAATGCTTTTTATGTTTGCTTAATGAAATGAATTAGCCATGGGATGCAATCTTTTTCAGATTACACCTATAATTTGGGGAGATGCTTCTGAGAACATAAGAAGGGGCACTTTACTTTGCCATTATGCCATCAAATCCCATTGCTGAAATAAACAATATACCTGTTTTTCACTTTGGTGTCATCGAATGCAACTGCAATGTGGCTGTTCCTTGAGAGACCAAATTGCTTGCCACCTTCCAAAAGGGCTGGCTCTGTGTCAGCAGCACAGGAGTCCTGCAAAATACAGAAGTGATCAGCAAAACTTCGTATTTCCCATCTCTCTCAGCTGTGCACATGCTGGAAGTCTTCCAGGAGTTCGAATATTCCAGTCTAGACACCGGCCTTGCAGTTTTCCAGCGTGTTGCTGTCTCATCACACCAGTTATAAACCAGTACGACGGGAACATGGTGTAAAGGCAGAGCTCATGAAGCTGGTTGTAAAAGCAAATAAAAGTAAAGTATGAACATGGCTGCTCTCGTGCCACCAGTGGACGTTCCCGAGAGCCTGCAGTGATTTCCAGGCTGCCCCACGTGCTCTCCCCTCACATCTCTGAGCCCTCTCACAGAAATAAAGCAAGGTTTAAGTTTTGAAGGGATGAGGGATGCTTTGCAGTCGACTCGCAATCTAGTCACCCTTAAAAAGAATGAATTATAAGCAGTTTCAGATCCTCCACCTATCAATGAGCCCCCCCGTTTCACTTCTTTATATTGTTTTACCATTGTATTTTTTGCTGAAGGTGCTGTGGAGAGGTCCCCCCCATGAGCCAGGGAAGCTGAAGAAGTGATGGATAAAGTCACAAGGGTTAAACGCCCTGAGCTGCCTAATGCAGACACATCACCCAGGGGGTGAGGACAGAAACCCCTCCCTCTCTGTTCCACTTCAATTCATCTTAAAGCGGGGCAACAATGGAAGGTAAAACATCTTCTGCCCACTCTAAGTTTCTCTTTTTAATTTTGCCAGGTCTTTTAATCTCTGGCCCTAAAGCTCTTGTATCGGGGTGCCCGGGGGCAATGAGAGACCACGGTAATTACCAGCTCCTGCCCACGCCTGGCTCTTGCCTCCCACTGAGAGTATTGTGAAGAAACTACTCAAAGGATCTAACACAAAACAAAATCAGGACAATACCGCTGGGAGAGAAAAAAAAATATGTGCTGTAGCTGATATCATTCTGGATTCGTGACAGTCTCTTCTTTGAGCCCTGACTCACCAAGGACCTGCAGAGCAGAAGGTGCCGTGCTCTGCCGACACCGAGCCCTTTCTGTCAAACACTCTGAAAATGCCACCAGTGACTCAGGCACTGAGATTTCAGCCACAACGAGGAAATTTCTTTCCCCCCTCACTCAGTTTTTCAGCAGCGTTACATTTTTTTTGCCTTCACGTGTCACGAAAAATCTTCACAACAGTATAAAGCGCTTCTAAAAATTAGTTTTCCACACTGAATGCTCTGGTTTGAACGTGACGGAGTAGAAAGAACACCATGCATTACATGTACACATCAGTGTGCAATGGAGGGGAAAAAAATGGGCAAAACTCAGCAGACCAAAGCAAGCTAGGAATGTGTGACAGCAATCTTCCAGTGACCATCAAATAAAAACAAAATAAAATCATATTTCTATAATGCTGGATAAAACAAAATAAAATCATATTTCTATAATGCTGGATAAAACAAAATAAAATCATATTTCTATAATGCAAAATAAAATCATATTTCTATAATAATTCTTATTTTAAGCTTTACAGGTTTATCTAGAAGCTTAACAACTATGTTAATAACAATACGGTGTATTTGCATTTGGGATTGCTAAATGTGAAGACAGGGACTAACTCTGGTACTAGAACTAGAGAAAAGAATTGGAAAATACACTAACACACGCTTTTCTGTGGCATATTTTTACATATTACATATGTAAAAAGATATATTCTGACAGTAAATTGAATCCAAGGCTGGTTTGTTGGTAAAGGGTCTGGCCCTGACACTTGAGCTGCTCCCCAGCATCAGCAAACATTGCAGTTTTAATTCATACCAGGGGGAGGACACAACAATTATTTACTGATAAATACTGACCCATAATAGTGACCGTTCATTAGGTTGATGTGGAAATGTCAGTAAAAGGAAAAAAATCAAGGTTTTATTCACAAGCCCATCTCTGCTTTCACTTAATCTAAGGCCAGCAGCTTCACAGGCTCCACAGGCTGTGAACTAGGCATCGATTCTATGCCTATATTAAAATATCCCAACTTTGTTTTTAATTTAATGGCGTTAAGGTGTCCCGGGTGTAAACCTGGCTGTTGAATCACAGAATCATAGAATTGTCTGGTAGGTAAAAACCTGGCTGTTGAATCATAGAATCATAGAATTGTCTGGGTTGGAAGGGACCTTTCAGATCATCGAGTCCAACCATCCATTTACCTCTGATAAAAACCATCACTAACCCATGTCTCTAAGCTCTATGTCAGCTTGTCTTTTAAATCCCTCCAGGGATGGGGCCTCAACCACTGCCCTAATAATCTCCCACATCACCTGAGAGCCTCAAGGCTGAACTCTTCAGCTGCACTTGATTTAGGTCTTGTCAGGTGTCAGGGACTTGACCGGTAGGTCAAGAGGCTGAGAGTGCATCACGGTGGAAATGAAGAGCAGCAAAGCCCACTGGTGGAGTGTCACACATTCGCTACAAACAATTATTAGTAATCACAACGAAAGTAATCAGGTGGAAAAAGGGAGCACCACTGAAACAGTCCCCACAGCTCCCAGAACAGTGTTAATAAAACAAGGGAGTAATGCATGGAGAAAGGGTGGAAGGTACCGTCACGGAGTCAAAGGCAGAAGTAATGCTGGCGCTCCTCGTTTCAGCAGCAAGCGAGTCCTGAGGAGCAGGGAATAACGTGAGGCAGAAGCAGCAGTTCCCCAAGGCTGAGAAGCACTCTGGCACCCGTAGCACCCAGCAGCAGACTGGAGACCACCACACGTCCCAACTGTCCTACACCTACATCTTGTATTGCCTTTTGTAGAGAGTAGGGCTTTTTTTTTTTTCCCTATTGCCTTTTGTAGAGGGTAGGGCTTTTTTTTTTTTCACTTTGGATTAAACTCCCCCTCCCGCCTTACATGCAGATGGATAACAGAGATTTAAAAAGTCCTAAAAGGACTTAAACAGAAGAGAGACCTTATTTAAGCCCTCCCTCTTTACATGCAGGTGGATAACAGAGATTTAAAAAGTCCTAAATGGACTTAAACAGAAGAGAGACCTTATTTAAGCCTCCTGTGTGGAAATCATTTTTTTCTGCTGTGTATTTGCCATATGCCATCCTTCTCCTCTGAGCTTCTGCATAATTAACTGTCATGGGAGTGCTCTCTCATCATTAACCTGTAGTTACTTATTTTGTTGCAACGTTCCCCAGAAAAATACTTTGGAGAACTTACTTAGATCAATGTAAAAACTACCCGGGAGTGCTACCTCATCATTATTAACCTGTAGTTACTTATTTTGTTGCAACATTCCCCAGAAAAATACTTTGGAGAACTTACTTAGATCAATGTAAAAACTACCCAAAAGCTTGTCTTATTTAAAACACTTCCAAGGCTTCAGAATACTAAATAGATTTCATTTTTTCCAAGAGAGAAAGTGGAGTAGCGGTGCTTTATTTAGATTTTTATTTTGATATCCTGTTTCAAGTTAGCATGGTTCTAGGTATGTGATATACAAATATATATAGTATACAATGGGACTAATTTCTGGTGTTAATGGGTAGTTCTACTCCTCTCAATTTTGCTATTTAAAAATTAGTGTTCAGAGACCTCGAAAGTGCGCCTTCTCATACACTTCTGTGTTTGGTTTTTTTTTTAAATGTTATTTATAATGCTTGATCAAGGGACAGTATGACTGCACATCTTCCCAACAGTGAGCACTGAACTGCATAACCCTCTTTACCTCCTTGCCTGGCTCCTTACCTTCATAGGCTGGCCTTACCATAACTGCAAATTTACAGAATCACAGAATCTTAGTGGTTGGAAGGGACCTCCAAGATCATCGAGTCCAACCACATTAAAAAAAAAAAAAACAACCCAAAAAAACCCCACTAAACCCATTTTGTTCTCCTAATTCTCTCTAAATTTGCTTACTTTCAGCTCCAAACAGCAAGATGCATCGCAGCCCTTGTGTTACCACTACTCCACCTTGTGGGAATGAATCAAAAATGCTGCCCCAGAGCATTAAAAGGCCAATACATATAATTCTGGGACTTGGGGCAGGGCAATAACTGAGATGGAACTTGCCTGTCTTGAACCCCAGGCTCCCAGGTCCACATTTCCACACACGCTGTTTGGAAACCTCACTCACACTGGACTATAGAAACCTGCGGGTCGTCTGCAGGTTTAATAAAACACAAAGGAGTTCCCTCCCCCCCCCAGAATATCTTCCAGTGGATGTATCATTCAGTGTAATGTTCAGATATCTAAACATAGATTTTCTGGGCAGTAAAATGTTGAATCAATTGGCAAAACTGCTACACTTGTGACAGAAGAAGTTTCTTCTTATATTTCATTTGCCTATATTTAGCTCTTTAAGCTTTCTGGCAACAATAGTTGAGCTCAATTTAGAAGCACCTGGGGTTTCAGTTCTTAAATTTGAAATTCTCCTGACTGAAGTTATAAAATGGCAGTAGAAGAACTGCAGTATCAGACATCTGGTCTACCCATCTCTTCACCCTGTTGCTGATGTGGCTGTTATCATGTGCTTCAGGGAACAGCATGAGAAATACCATAATGACATGGATTTCCCATAGGAAAAATTCCCTTCCAATCCCAATCAGATATTGCCAGGCTTACATCCTGAAAAGCAAGGCTTTAGAGCTAAGCATGCAAGCCAAAGGGAATTCTACTGCCATACTGTTCTTCAAATTAGTGTTGTGATAATCCAAGCAAATGATATCAACTGGTTTTCCATTATCCACAGGTTTTACTGACCTGCAGCAAGGTGTTCCCTTTACAATATCATGCTGATTTCTTACTACTTCTGTGGCAAATTATTTCATTATTCTTGATGGCTTGCTTTCAATTTTGCCTTGGAAGAGAAACTTTTCAAGCTTCACCTGAGTGAAGTCATGGACACTTACAGGTGCTGAAGACAGAGGTGGTGTTGGAGGAGGAGGGGAAGCAAGGGTCCTTGGTCTTTCTTTCTCCCCATTAGTGTCTGGTTCAGGCTGGACCAGAACTGCTGTGTGGATTGGTTTATCTTCATCCTCAGGTGGCCTAACCTCTGGTTCTAGAGAGGGACATCGGCCAATATCTGCATTTTCAAAGGACACGGGTTGAGCGAAGTCCATGGGGCTGAGAAAACACAAAGAAATCGATGTCTGTAATTAGTTTTTCTGCCTTTTTACTACCCATTAAAAAGAACAGCGATACGCTGCAGTGTAATTCCACTTAACAGGACACAAGAGCCAGGATTCATCCCACCTACTTCAGGTACAAAGCGGGACATTTAAATTAGACGTGACAGTCACCATTGGCTTTCCTCCCTACAGTCAGTGCAGAGAGACAGGCATTCTCTTTCTCAAGCTTTACCAGTGTAGGTAGGCTGAGTCACATTGTGGAGAAGTCCTTCTCTCTGAGGGGGTTGGAACTAGATGACCTTTAAGGTCCCTTCCAACCCAAATCATTCTATGAGTCCATGATTCTGTGATGTACACTGAATGTGGGGTGATGAGATCCTAACTAAGGTACTTTAGTTACATGAAAGAAAGATTTAGATGAGAACTTCCTATAGAGGTTTTACTTTATTCACCATTTTTACTTAAATATGCCTTCCAGATTACTGCAGCATCCGTTTTCCACAAAGCAAATTAATTCCCACGGTGTTTCTCAGGATTTGTATAATCTTGGAGATCAACCTTAATTAAAATAAAGTGTTATAGTACACCATAAAAACCTATCGCTGAGGCAAGTCTTATTGCAGTGTTACTGTTGAGTTGCTCTGATTTTACAGATAAACAGACAGGTGTTGTCTTGTCTGTAAAACAGCTTATTAATTGCAGAGCTTATGGAGCGTACGCTGCAGACAGAAAAAGGAAGGACATATTAAGAAAACAGACCATATTCTAGGGCTTGCTGTTGGTGTTTCCTTGCAGCAATGAAGTTCCTTTTGGCAGCCAAGGTGGTTGACCAGACCTCATTAACTGGACATTTGTTGGCATCAGTGAGACTTACGTGGCATTGATGACAAGGTTCCATATACAGCCCTCAAAGGGTGGGATGTTTCTGTGAAAACAGACCGTATTCTAAGGCTTGTTGTTGGTGTGTTTCCTTGCAGCAATGAAGTTTCTTTTGGCAGCCAAGGTAGTTGACCAGACCTCATTAACTGGACATTTGTTGGCATCAGTGAGACTTACGTGGCATTGATGACAAGGTTCCATATACAGCCCTCAAAGGGTGGGATGTTTCTGAGAGGTGCAGTCTGAAACTGAGAAGAAGTGCCCCCCACAAAGAGTTTCTTAACAGAGATGGGCAGGTCCGTTGGCAATCTCTGACTCTGCACTTGGTCTTCATCCACTTGAACAGTGAACATCCTGTGAAAGAGAAGGGAAAGCAAAGAAATATGTATTTTACTCTGGTTATTGCTTGTACTGAAATCACCACTTTGCAGGCCCCATTTACTCCTACGCCAGCTACAGCAGTGAGCAACCTAAATTATGTAATTAGCAGCTCACACTAAATGCACATTAACCACTAGAAGGTTTTCAGCTGCGATGAAGCTGCGATGCTTCCTTGGTCATGTTTTGTTTGGTGTCCCTTTTTCCTGGGTCTTCTTGCTGGGGGCCAAATGCTGCTACAGGTTAATCCTCTGATTGCAGGACCAACCACAGATACACACTGTCCACTTTCTAAAAGATCTGGTTGGCTTTTTTTGGTGGAGATGGCAGAGGAGGAGAACTACCGATTGTTCACCATGTGCTGACTCAAGTGCTGCAGTTTTCTCTCTAGGGTAACGTGTATGCTACAAGACAAAGACAAAGCAACCCCGTTGAAGATGGTGCCAAGGTTGTGGAGAGGAAGGCAGGCATCTCTGAAGCACAGCACCACTGGCTGATCGAGCCAAGAAATGGCAAAAAGAGCAAAGGGGTAAATATGGTGAAGGGCATTATTCTGGTAAAAGGATAAATCCAAACATGAGACAAAAGCTGAATGCTCTTGCACTCATGCTACTGAGATACAAACGTTTCAGGTTTGTACCACATTTACAAGGAAACATGATAAAGGGGACAGAAAGTGGACAACTAGTTTGCCAGGCCATACATTATGTATACTGAGACATCAGCATTAATGTAAGGGCTGTGGGGTTGAGAGACGGGGGATTATTTTGATGGGTAACATATATAACATCAAGGCATAGCAACAGATTTAACTGCTGGCTTTGGGACAATTTACCATTGATGAAACACAGAAAAATCTCCAGCTTCTGAACAAATCCAGCACAAGGTGAGCTGAGCTGAGCTGCAAAGGACGGATAAGAACTCCGGTATTTCTGAAGCTAAATGTGGAATACTAGTTGGCACAATTTCTCTGTGTCATTAGACTGTATTTTATAGACTTTAGCCAGGAGAGAATCAAGACCGCAAAAAAAAAAAGCTATTTGTGTCTCCAGTAATCTCTGATATGATTTATGAAGGACAGTGTTCATTTCAAATGTGTTACAGTCACATAAAACTAAACACCAGGACCTAAGTATTCAAGCACCTTTGACTACACTTAGTTACCTAAACCCAAGTTAGGTATCTGTAAGTTGCTTGATTTTTTTCAGAATTACTGAGCATCCTTACAACAGATCAGATATAATCAGTTTCTGGCAAATTATCTCACTTCTCTCAACCGCAAAATTATATTGAACTCCAATATTCTTCCTTAACAATAGTTACAAATGTTAGCAAATGAATATTGAAAATGTTTATTGAAAAGAGGCTGGTTTTCAATATGTAAAATGCTTGGCTTTTTTATTTTCCAAGTCCTAGCTATAAATGGATAGTGACTTAAGCACCTGCATTAGATCACTGTTGTACTACGTGCAAATTGTCCAATTTCCTCATAGTTTTGGATGGATTAATTTGGAAAATGCTTGGCTTTTTTATTTTGCAAGTCCTAGCTATAAATGGATAGTGACTTAAGCACCTGCATTAGATCACTGTTGTACTACGTGCAAATTGTCCAATTTCCTCATAGTTTTGGATGGATTAATTTGGTCTAGAAAGCTGTAGAATGAGAAAGTCATTCATTTTTCGAAGGGTTGGAGGAAGTGGTTATCACAAGAGTTATTGTTTGGGACAATCTCCAGGATTTCCCCCAGACCCTTCGGCAGTGGGAACAGGAGGAAAGAGGTTTCTTTGGGGGCAGTTCTGAGCAAGAGACTAATTCAGGTTCTGTGACGTGTCCCACAGAGGAAACCTCTCTCTGCTACCTCCAGAGGATGTGCAGGGCAATCAGACTGCCAAAACTCCGAGGTATCCTTCGTGCTGCTGCCTGGTAGTCATGGCTACTGATTGCCAATATTTCCATCAGCACCCAATATTTCATCTCATCTTCAGCCATTACCATAGCAAACATTTTCACTCCAAGCAGAACCATACAACGACGTGCATTAGTCTTCAAGAGTATCCTATAATTGCCTTGGAAGAGAAAGTAAATACTTCATAATTATATGGACAACTACCTCTCTGAAGAGTTTTTCAAGGATACTCCTTCCATTTAATCAAATAAAGCTTGAGTTTGTCATGAGCAGAGGAGGGGCTAATCTTAATTTATATCTTTTCAGATCCATTTCAGGTTAGAGACACTGTGCAGTTCAGACAAGTTGTTTGGTAATGGGGACACTTGGAACACAGAGGTTTCATCTCAACAAGCACCATCCGTGGATGACATCCCACAGCTATTGTGACCATCACAGGTCAAGCTACTGAATAAAACAACTTTCTTTGTTGTTTAGAGCATCTGCATATTTGTGTTCTGTCACAGTGACACAAAATGTTGCGCAAAATGCAGTCATCCATTTCCAAAATAACCTGCTTTTTTTTTTTTTTCCCAAAGAATTTGCAGTTTTACCTTCAACTCATCATTGAAGCTGGGGAGAGACACAGAGACACTTTGAACACAGAGGTTTCATCTCAACAAGCACCATCCGTGGATGACATCCCACAGCTACTGTGACCATCACAGGTCAAGCTACTGAATAAAACAACTTTCTTTGTTGTTTAGAGCATCTGCATATTTGTGTTCTGTCACAGTGGCACAAAATGTTGCACAAAATGCAGTCATCCACTTCCAAAATAACCTGTATATTTTTTTCCCAAAGAATTTGCAGTTTTACCTCCAACTCGTCATTGAAGCTGGGGAGAGACATTGTCTGAAGGCATTATTTACAAGAGTTTTTTTTAACGATACAATAGAAATCCATTCAGAAAATTATACTGACAAAGCACAAAGTAAAGCAGATTATAGAGAGAAGGGCACCTGGGGACTAGAGAGACAGGAATAGTTGCTCAAGAAAGCTGCAGTGTTGGGGGGGAGAGGGGGAAGCCCAGTGTTCAGCATGGATAAGCACTTTTTGTGACATGCTGGATGTCACATCTTCTTTCTGATTTTTTTCTTTTTTTCTCTTTTAAAACAAAAGAGAACAACATTGTGCATCTTGCACAACAAACCTGACTTGGAACAAGGGCTTTCCAGGCCATAAATAACACTGATGGCCTGAGGTCCTGCCCACACAGCAGTGCTGTGTCTTGTCACTTGCTGAATGGTGAAGTGTAATTAGTATTTTTTACAACGTCTAAGAAAGTGCAAAGAAATTTAAGTGAAATTCTGTTTAAAACCACATGGTCTGAGAAGGTCTGCAATGGCTTTCCAGCAATAAGAATGACTGCCGTTATCTGGAACCCTGTGTTTTCATTGTTTTACCAGATTTTGCTGGGCACCACCATAACCAGCACAAAAAGGCTACAGGCTGCTGTTTTATGTACTTTGAAAATGGTCTTTTTTCTACCTTTTTTCTACCTGTCTTGAAAAGGTGAGTTACTGCACGGCCACAGATTTTATTAATAAAATATATTTCCCAAGAACCAGAAGGTGAAAGACACCAAATGCAGGTCTCTGGAGAAAGGGGCTGACAACTGAGGAAAGCACGTAAACCCCGCTCCCCAGAATAATACGCACTGTTAGAAACTAACTCCTACAAATTTTTGGCTAAGGATGGAATTACACTCATTTTTTTTGCCTCAGCAGAAGCATTTATGTAAACCCCGCTCCCCAGAATAATAAGCACTGTCAGAAACTAACTTCTAAAAATTTTGGCTAAGGATGAAATTACACTCATTTTTTTTGCCTCAGCAGAATTACTGCACGGCCACAGATTTTATTAATAAAATATATTTCCCAAGAACCAGAAGGTGAAAGACACCAAATGCAGGTCTCTGGAGAAAGGGGCTGACAACTGAGGAAAGCACGTAAACCCCGCTCCCCAGAATAATACGCACTGTTAGAAACTAACTCCTACAAATTTTTGGCTAAGGATGGAATTACACTCATTTTTTTTGCCTCAGCAGAAGCATTTACATGGATTGCTGGTTGGACTCGGGGCTGATGGTTGGACTCAATGATCCCAAGGCTCTTTTCCAACCTGAATGATTCTATGACTCTAAAGACAACAGTACATTGGCTTTGTTGAATGAACTGGGCTGTGTGAGACAACGGTATATTGGCTTTGTTGAATGAACTGGGCTGTGTGATGTGTAGCTTTTCTAGGTATTTGTTACCCTCTGGCTCGCTCGATGCGGACGGAGTGGGCTCTGCCATCGTGGAACTCCCCAGCCTCTGGTCTGATGGTGATTCTGTGGGGATCCCGTATCCCGGTGGAGATGTGCACCTCTAGTCGACCTCTGTTCAGGAACACTGCATAGTAGGCCTGCAACGCGTATATTGGTATTAGAAGGCAAGTTACATTTGGAAAGAAATCATTTCACTCAGTTTTATTTTCTTACACTGTTTTTTTTTTCTTTTTTTTTTCTCACCATAGTCAAGATACCGTAGTTCCGGTTCTGCTCCTGAATTCAGATTCTCTTGCATTTTTATAGCAAGAAATGGGTAAAAGGAGGATCTGCTGGGAAGCCTCATCAAAAGATTTGACTCTCTGCATACCTACTTGCAAGGAAGGATGGAGACTTCTAACCTACAACTCTTCTGATTTTTGCTGCCTGGTCTTAAACCCACCCCGCCCCGAATAGCCCTGATCTTGGTATGAGTTCTGCGTTTGGAGGGCTGGTAGATCAGGGCAGTAGTTACTCTAGCAACCAATATCATGCTGTAGAGGATTTCAGGATCTAACCTCCAGTTACTATAGCAATGAGTGTCGTGCTCGTTTCTGTGACCTGATGAGCTGGGTGACACTAAAGGAGCACCTGCCCTGAAGTCAATGTCATGAGGGTGAGCCATCAGAGCGTGTTGCCCCTGGAGTGTGTTCCTCCAGGTCACTGAGAGCTCTCTGCCAAAACAGGCAGGAAGGAGAATAATGAGATACCATTTCCCAGAAGTCCTGAACAAAGAAAGCACCACAATAATTTTTAACTCATCAAGATTTGAATAATTTCCAGAAGCAATCACACTTTTGCCAGTTTGTCACTTGGACTCTTTGGTACTTCTCTGAACAGGCCGACTCTGTCCTCTTCAGAAATGATTGATGCAGGTTTGTGTTTTATGGGAGAGAAGGAGAGGCTGGAGCACTCTTAAGTCTCATATCCCATGGCAGTGATCCCGAACAAGGGGCTTCTCTTGCACTGATTTTAGCTGGTTTTTTTTGTCTCAGACAATGTCTTCAGCCATTGGAATGGGCTGCCCAGGGAGGTGGTTGAGGCACCATCCCTGGAGGTGTTCAAACGACGGGTTGATGTAGTGCTGGGAGGTCTGGTTTAGTGATGATGCTCCTTGTTTGTTGTGTGGGTGTCTATTTTTGTCAAAGTTAGGTTGACGGTTGGACAAGATGATCTTTGAGGTCCCTTCCAACCTGGAAGATTCTGTCTCAGGAGAAACAGAATGATCCTCATTTATGTCTACATGAACAGGAACGAGAGATGTTTCTAAGCATTGATAGTGTACAAGTAGTCCTCAGAAGGAGTGAAGAAAATACTCTAATATTTTGGGTTTTGGTTTGATTAAAAAAACAACATGGAAGTATCTACATGACAGAAAAACAAATCTGTTTGGTTTTTTTGGGTGGGGTTTTTTTGTTGGGTTTGTTTTTGTTTGGTTGGTTGTTTTTTTTTACCAACAAGCCCTACTGTGAATCTTAAGAGAAACAGTTGCTCCGATGCAAAAAAAACCCCAATTCTGAGTCCCTACCAGATTCTCTATCAGATAAAGGATAACATTAGAAATGTTTTATGCCCAAGCACTGAAGTTTAAGTATAAACACCTGACAGTGCCTTGAAACACACCAAGAGGAAGAAGTTTGGTAAAATTGTGGAGTTTCTTGATCTTTTGCTAGGTTCCTCGTACCTGTCCCGTCTGCCGCCGCTTTCTCCTGGGAGGGGTCCCTTTCCTCCCAGTGAAGCCCCGCTTTCTCCTGGGGGGGACAACTGTGCCACTTGTGCCAAAGAGGATGATCCCAGACTCGTTCCTGGTGCTGAAGGAGAGGTTGATTTCGGTGCCCACGTCGAAGGAGACCGGCTGCAGTTCCACAAAGCCTGGCTTGGGGAAGCTGACGGTATAAATGTTCTGCCGGAAGGAAAGGATGGGCAAGTGCATCAAAAGAATTAAAAAAGCAAGAGTATAAACACACAGAAAGATTTCCTAACTAAAATAATCAACTATGTCAATGTAACTAGCGTGAAGAGATGGAAAGTAATAATAAACACTGAGCAATTTACTTCTCAAAGTGTAGTGCAAACACTAATTTACCTGTTTACATCTGGGCTCCGATGCAAAAAAAACCCCAATTCTGAGTCCCTACCAGATTCTCTATCAGATAAAGGATAACATTAGAAATGTTTTATGCCCAAGCACTGAAGTTTAAGTATAAACACCTGACAGTGCCTTGAAACACACCAAGAGGAAGAAGTTTGGTAAAATTGTGGAGTTTCTTGATCTTTTGCTAGGTTCCTCGTACCTGTCCCGTCTGCCGCCGCTTTCTCCTGGGAGGGGTCCCTTTCCTCCCAGTGAAGCCCCGCTTTCTCCTGGGGGGGACAACTGTGCCACTTGTGCCAAAGAGGATGATCCCAGACTCGTTCCTGGTGCTGAAGGAGAGGTTGATCTCGGTGCCCACGTCGAAGGAGACCGGCTGCAGTTCCACAAAGCCTGGCTTGGGGAAGCTGACGGTATAAATGTTCTGCCGGAAGGAAAGGATGGGCAAGTGCATCAAAAGAATTAAAAAAGCAAGAGTATAAACACACAGAAAGATTTCCTAACTAAAATAATCAACTATGTCAATGTAACTAGCGTGAAGAGATGGAAAGTAATAATAAACACTGAGCAATTTACTTCTCAAAGTGTAGTGCAAACACTAATTTACCTGTTTACATCTGGCATCATTACAGTATTTCTGGAATCCTGTCTCACAGGAAGGCAAAGTTCCAGTATTATTTTGCTACATCCTCTTGGATTAAAAATAACTGCTCACAGGTGGGTTTTTAATTATGGGTGTTTTCCATTGAGTTAATACAGTGGGATTTTGCTTTTAAATCAATACAGTAGATAAAGGCAGCCAATATGAATGTAAACTAGATTCTGTAATTTGTCAAATGCGCTCAGAAAATACTTTCCATTAATCAGTTGTTATTGCTTCATCATTATTGCTTCACTAAGCACCACCACTTTCTCGATGACTCAGGCTCATGAATGAAGCACTTGATGCAGGTGGCTCAACTCTTTGGACACTGGTAGCCATTAACACAATTTAAAGAGTGGAACATGTCATCAAATAATAAACCAGTGCACATTCCTGAAGGTTTTCTGTCATCACTGCCAATTCTTGTACTCTTCCAGCCAGGGAAGATCAGGCTATAAAAACAGTGACTTTTTCTAAAATAACTCAGCATTTTTTAGTACAGTAGAATTGATTTCAGGTATAGAGATCATAGATTATGCTACATCAAATAATTGATGCTACATCAAATAATTGCTGATGATGTTCACCTTTCTCTGAAATCTGAGGGCATTTAAATAATTGGCCATTTATGAGTCTTTATCTTTTGCTTTTACTTCACTTCTTTTTAATTATTGTACATATCCTCTTATGTACAATTAGGATATTTTATTTAATTCCCCAACAAAATGTTTAATCCAATTAGATTTCCAATGCTGAAACCTCAGGAGTTACAAAATAATGTGAAAAACAAAGTTCTTCCTAAGATAAGAAATGTGCCTTCAAACTCATAACAGCAAGTACTCTACAGTTTCTATCCTGAAGGTGACTTTCTGTCAGTTACCCCCAAATATACTGTGAATTTCAAAGTACCTCAGGTTTTCTGTAGTAAATGATTTCATAATAACAAGTTTTTAACAGAAAATAATTTAAATCCTTGGATTTTATGCACATCAAAAATTTTTAAGGTTTTTGCAATATTGTCGGTGCTTAATTCTATCCTCATTAATGTCAATAATTCCAATTTTAGTCAGCTCACACAAAAATAGACCACTGCTAAGCATTCCTGAAAACCCTGCCCTTGAGGGCCAGGGATATCACAACTGCCCCAGGATACTGTCCAAGAAGACAGGAGCTGGAAATCTGGTCTACTTGCTGATCACACACATTCATCATTCTTTCTTTTAAATATAACCGTTCTGATTTTCAGGTTAGAGCCCTACGTGCGTCTGACTATTCCTTATACAATTGTTATGCTATAAAAATCAGAAACCAGAAAACATTTGTACCTGTTAAGAGCAAAATACATGGAAGTCAGACTAACCTCTAGAGTGCAGCCTTTGGTTAGACCAACAAAATCAGGACTGCTCAATATATTATAGGGCGTCCTTGAAATTTCAATCTCTTTGAGGCATCCTGTGTATTTCTGCAAGTTCACTTCAGGCCTAAAAAAAAATTTAGATACAATGTATTTTCAAAAACAGAATTTAGGGAGAACACCGTCAGCCACACACACGCACACATGCACTTTCAGATGTACAGATGCTTGAATTATTTTTTTAATATACACATCATACACTCAAATGAATACATCTTGCCTTCTACTGCCTATCAGCACGTACTGCACTCTGCCTTCCATCACTCAAAGGTGTAACAGGAGATTCATCTCAGCTCCAATTGACAACAGCCCTCTCCTCCATTCGTTCTTTCTTTTTCTGTGTGGTTTGTTTGTTGTTTTGGGTTTTTTTTTTTGTAAAGAACTGCTGTCACCTTTGGTGTTTAAGTGCAGTGAGCTATGAAATTAGTACGTAGCTGTTCCTTAGGCAAAGCAGAACAGTGCAAGATGGGAAATCATAACAAGGAGAAACCTTAACTGGAAGACAGATGTTTCATTCATCTTTTTACATGCTATTTCCTAGAGAAACTTTAGCAGGACACAGACATTTTTTATCAAGTCTTTGCCAAAGACTGAAAAAATATTTTCATTTGATTATTTTTTTTTTCAATGCTTTAGGAATTCTTTACGTTCAGGTGGACTGACGTTTGTTTTCTATGTATTTTATATTCCCAGCATCTTTCCTATGAAAACTGCTGCACGTTTTCTTGTGACACGGTGATATATTTGACTTTCTCAGGCAGTTAAAGAAAAAAAACCAAACAGGGGTTTGCTACAGAACCTAACTAGCCATCCAAGACAGCAAAATTTAATAGAATTGCAAAGATCCATGGTTTGGAACAGCTCGTTGGCAGAAGAAATGAGAAAACCCCTGAAAGTAACACCAAAGCAGGCACATGAATGCAAAAGTATGATTTCCCACACCCGGGAACACCAGGGTGAGACCCCAACTGCTGGCAACATATGAATCAGGCTTGCAAGAAGAAAAGCCTTAGAAAGTCACTTCAGGAAAACAGTTGCCATTCATGAGAGTAAATTTTAAAAAAAATATATTACCCATGAGTGTTTAGTAGAATATCTGAATGATATTATTCAGCTCAAAGAAAGAAAAACTAATTTGGAAAATAAATAACGACTTAAAACGGTCAGGAGAAAAAAACCCAAACAAACTTCCTGGAAGGAAAGAAAAGTTTTTAAAGAATATTAATTACAAAACAAAACCATTTTGCACAGGTACTGCTCAGCTGCATGTTTTGCCACTGAAAGCCATTCTTTGCATTGTAGCCATCCTAGCAAGCGCGGTGTGTTCTCTGGCAAATTTACATCCCTGAAAGTAAACATCTGGTTTACTAAAACAGTCTGTATTCTGCCTGATTTAGTCACGTAGCTACGGTCACCTTTCATTTTTTGATTTTTTTTATTTCCTAGCTCTTCCCCAGTTCCTTCCCAGCCTCACTCCCCAGCAGCAGCAGAGCTTTGCCATGTCACTGCCAGCAGCACCCACAGCCTTCTGCCTTTACCGTCCCAAAAACGTTCATTTTCCTCCCCGTCCCTCATACATCAGGCACTCACCCTTATCTTACAATTCTCAGCCCGTGTGAACCCCACATCCCTGTAAACATTCAACACCTGCCTGATGTTTTCCTACAACTTCCTTTTTTCCCCTCTTCCTTTCCAAACCGCACAGAACAAGGCCCAAGTTCAGTCAGATCTTGCATAAATTTTTGGCCTTTTTTATTTTTTTGGGGGGGGGAGAGGCTTTTTTTTCTTTTTTCTTTTCTTTTTTTTTTTTTTTGGCCAAAATAGGATCAGTTTCAAGGGAAGACAAGAAAAGATTCCTGGAGGAAATAATCTGTCTCAGGATGGGGGTGGGGGGGAGCTGCATTTTTGTAGTTCACGCCAGGAATTAAGCTGCAAACCAGTGGAGTTCAGTCCGTATCTGAGCGTATCAAAGCAAAAGCAATGGATGGAAAGAAACTGGGAAGGGTCTGAAATAGGCGACCTCTCTTATCCCACCCTGTTTGAAGCTCGGAAGTGGCTCGGAAGTGGCAGCCCTGAGGAAAGGGACTTGGGGGTGCTGGTGGACGAGAAGCTGGGCATGAGCAGGCAGTGGGCAGCTGCAGCCCAGAAGGCCAATCCCATCCTGGGCTGCATCAAAAGATGCGTTGCCAGCAGGTCCAGAGAGGGGATTCTGCCACTTTACTCTGCTCTGGTGAGACCTCACCTGGAGTATTGTGTGCAGGTCTGGAGCCCTCAATATAAGAAGGACATGGACCTGATGGAGAGGGCCCAGAGGAGGGCCACAAGGATGATCAGGGGGATGGAGCACCTCTGCTCCGAGGACAGGCTGAGGGAGCTGGGGTTGTTCAGCCTGGAGAAGAGGAGGCTCCGGGGAGACCTAATAGCAGCCTTCCAGTAC